CATTCATATATCCCTATATTGGATGCAGACGATAATCATTAGGAAGCTAATGGTATTAACTTGAGTTACACCATCTAGTAAGGCAGTGATGTTTTACAAGTTACACCCTCTATTAAACTACTCTAATCCTGCCTCATTAACATAATATACAACTCAACTCACTCCAAAGTCAGACCATAAACACAGACACAGAGGCAAGAATTTACAATATATCATGGATTTGAGGAATATAGCTGGAAGGGTCATATTAAGTAATTAATTGTTCTGTATTTACCTACCAAAGAAATATCAAGGTATTTATTTTTGTGGGTGGGAGGGGAAGCACTCACAGAAGGCTCAAAAGCTACAGGTAATGTTTTATTTTATAAGCAGAGTGACAGATATATAGATGTTTATTTTATTACTATTTTACCCATGTGATTTTATATATAGTGTTCATTGGTACTACTATATCATAAACACTGGGGTGCTATTCCCACTAAATAATCAGACATAAAAGAAACTGTATCTTGCATTGTTTTTGTGAAAGTGCAAGTAAGTTATTTCTGACACCTTTTGTGACAGAGTAATACTGCCCATAAAGATTCCAATGCTGTAATCTTTTTAGATCAGATCATCAGATCTTGCTTTCATGGAGCACTTGTTATTGTTGTTGTTGTTGTTGTTAAGTGCTGTCAAGTTGATTCCAACCCATAGAGATCCTGTATAGGGTTTCCAAGGAGCAGCTGATGAGCTTGAACCACTGACCTTGCAGTTCAAATGACTTTGCAATCCGGTGCTTTAACCCACAGCACCACACTAGGACTCCCATGTTAGATGGGTTAAAATTGGCATCCTTTCAGTTAGCAATCTAGTACTTAACCATTGTGCCACCAAGATCTTTAAATCTTTCATAATCGTATGCATTTGTTCCACAACTTGTAACCTGCTAAGTAGTTTATGCTTTAAAAAAAGTTGTTGTTGTTGCTGAGTGCCGTGTAATTGATCCGACCCATAGCAACCATGTATAGGGTTTCCAAGGAGCAGCTGGTGAGCTTGAACCACCGACCTTGCAGTTCAAACAACTTTGCAGTCTGACACATTACACCACAGTGCCACACCAGGACTCCTTCCTGATATGTAATTCCTTTTTAAAAAACAAGAAAATACTCTCAGAATTGCAAGAATGATATAAATGAATTTTAGAGAAAAGTAAGGCTGAGGAATATCATCAGTGCAACAAATAGCATTAGAATCACACTGATTTTTTATGTTGTCTGCAGAATTTGGTAAAACTTTATAATACCAGAGTCTATTGGGTTTAAAACCAGAAATATTTCAAGAAATGTTTCATAGAAGTTGGACTCAGAGTCATCAGATCTAAAGTCATTCAAATCCATAAATGTGTAGCAGAATTTTGGAATAACAAAATGATAGCAGAGATATGTTCATTTAGTAATGTTAAGACAAAATATCCAACTGACACAATTGATAATTGGTCCTCACACAAATTTCAGTAGTAATATGCAGGAATTAATAATGTTAAATTGATACTGATATATCATTATTGTTAAATATCCTATGTTAATAATAACATTGAAGACTTTAACAGACAAATTTATTTTAAATGAAAATTAATGTGTCCTCTTTAAAGATTTATCCTTTGGGCTTGAAATTTATATATTTTTTTTGTGGACAACTATAATTATGAATAACTTGTGACAATTAGTAAATTTTATTTTAGGAAAATGTGACTTGAATTTACTTCTTCCCACTTCTACTATTCAGGAATTTCATATTTTAATGTAGTGCTCTGAAATTATAGCATATAATTAACTGATAAAAATTCTATCTATAAAAATGTTAGTAATGTAAAGTATTTATAAAGTAAAATATGTGCAAACAACCTAGAGTAATTTAAGATGTTCTGGCAGTCTTGTGTTTTAATATTATGTAAATTGCCCTCATTTTGAAGAAACTGAACCACCTCCTGTTCCAAACAAATATTTCATCACAATCACCTTCAGTTGCTGCACATGCATCTTTTAAATCATTTAAAAGACTTCAAGATTTTTCTTGTACTAAAATAAGACAATAAGAACCAAATGCACCTGTTCTGATTCACCTACAAATTTCACTTACACACTTAAAGACACAGGACCGCCTGTGTATTCATTAGTAGAAATAATCTCATATTCTAGAAGAATAAAAAATCTCTATGAATAAATATAAAGTAATATTTATATTTGTATGTTAGCTAAAACAGATAATACAATAAATATATTTACTTATGTTTTATTGACTACACGTAGAGCATAACAAACTGACTAACAATGTGAACAATGGGAATTCCAGAACATTGAATTGCACTCATACATGACCTGAACACAGTCCAAGAGGCAGTCATTTGAACATAACAATGGGATACTGAATATTAAAATCAGAAAACATGTGTGTCAGGGGTATGTCCTTTCTCCATGTTTTTTCAGTCTGTATGCTGAGCAAATAATTGTTGAACCTGCAGTGATATGAAGGAGAATGTGGCATTAGGATTGAAGGAACGGCTCATTAACAATTGAGATGCACAACTATTTACCTGTGATATACACATGAATTACCATCCTTGCTGAAAGTGAAGAATACTTGAAACACTGATAAATATAAAAAACTAAAGGGGTCAGTAGATTATGGCTTATATAAAGAAAACAAAAATTCTCACACCTGGGCCAATAGACAACATCATGAAAAATGGAGGAACAATTGAAGTTGTCAAGGATTTCATTTTACTTAATTCTATAAGCAAGGCTTGAAGTCCTGGTGTGACACTGTGGGTTAATGTGCTAGACTGCAAAGTCAGTTTGAACTGCAAGGTTGGTGGTTCAAGCTTACCAACCACTCCTTGGAAAACCTCTACAGGGTCGCTATGGGTTGGAACTGACTCAACAGAATTTAACAGCAACAAAAGTAACCAAGGCTCATGGAAGCATCAGTCAAGAAATCAAATGATTTATTGCATCAAGCAAATCTGCTGCAAAAGACCTCTTTAAAATGTTAAGACCTCACTAGGAGGACTAAGGTATGGCTAACCCAAGACAGGATATTTTTAACTGCCTTGTATGCATGTGAAAGCTGGTCAATGAGTAAGAAAGACAAGAGAAGAACTGATGCTTTTGAAATGTGGTGTTGGTGAAGAATATTGAATATGCCATACACTTCCAGAAGAATGAACACATGGGTGTTGGAAGAAGTATTGACTGAAAGCTCCTTAGAAATGAGGATGGAAGACTTCCTTTGTCTCACATACTTTGGACATGTTTTCAGGAAGGAACTGTCCCTGGAGAATGACATCATGCTTGGTAAAAGAGAGGGTCAGTGAAAAACACCCTCAACAAGATAAATTAATACAGTGGCTTAAGCAATAGGCTCAAGCATAGCAATAGCTATGAGGATAGAGTAGGACCAAGCAGTATTTAGTTATGCTATGTATAGGGTCAATATCATTTGGAACTGACCTGACAGTACCTAACAAAAATGTTATGTTAGAGCATGTATTTCTTTTGTGGTGCTTTAGGATAAACACTGGACTGCTGACCGCAAAATGGGTAATTCAACCCCACCAGCTGCTCATTGGAAATCCTATGTAGGGTCGCTATAAAGGACCTCTGGTAGCATAGTGGTTACGAATAGGGCAGTTCAAAACTACCAGCTGTTACGTGGGAGAAAGATGAGGCTTTCTGCTCCCGTAAAGATTTACAGCCTCAGAAACCCTATGCAGGGTCACTATGAGTCAGAACCGACTCCACAATACTTAACAACAACATGAGGTGGAACCAACTTGACGGCACTTAACAGCTAGCACTACCATAGTAAATATAACTAATGGTTGATATGGATAATACTGGTGCCCTTTGTTTTAATTCAGTAGTACTATATTCATGAGATTAAATATAATTTAAATTCAATGAACACTCATATTTATAAATTAATGATATTATTGTTAGTCTTACTTGTTATAAAGAATGATTTGGCTTTCCAAACTATCAAGATATCACTATTATTTACCTTTCAAATTGCACATGCTGTTACAGAATTATTTTTGGTATATTTAGATGGAGAATATTTAATTATGTAAACCAACTCTAGTGGGCTAAAGTAGCTATGCCTATGTGGGTCTGAAAAAGAAGAACCAGGCAGAGCTAAGAACTAAGCATGCTGAGACAGAACAGAAAGAGAGCTAACAAAGAGACAAAGTGGGCATGAATATGTGAAAACTCCTCAGGCAAGGCCATTTTCATCCAAATCCATGCTAGTTCTCTAATCTGTATCTTCTTGTAGGTGTGGATTTACAGAGCAGTCAGATAAATTTCTGAAATACCTCATACCCAGATCTGTAGTGTAAGAAAAAGAAAAGTCTCACGTTTATATTAAATCATTGTATTAAGATTTTAATTTAATTCAAGTTTTAAAGCATAAAAGCAGTTGCCTAACATGAACATTATAAAAACTAATATTTAGAATTCTGTGCAAGAACATATATATGCCAAAATCAATCTCAGAAATTGAATATTAACCAAAATTTGTAAAAATTAGTTTTTTTGTCATAAAAACTTTGTATAAACAAAATGTCTGTGGAGAATAAAATTCCATTTTCCATAGGAGATAGTAAAAAAGTAATTTTACTTCTTAATGAGTGTTTAAATTAGATGGAGTAGGTAACCTATATAATCTACGTATCAACATGTTTATGCTATCATTTACAATAATCTTAAAATGTATGAACTATTTACTAATTTCCTTTGGGGAAACCATTGAATTGTAGATAAGGGAGCAAAAAAGTATAATGTCTGAATAATATAACAGAGACTTGACTGTACAGCAAAAGATCCCATATGATTTGCTTTATTAACATTATACAACTTCACAGATTGATCTCCTGCCAGTGATATATGGGCCACTGAGTTTACTTATAAATGTTTCTGATAATTTCATTTTGAACTTTTGAATGTGTTTTTATCCTTAAGGTCTGGGAATTGGGAACATGTTCTATGTTTTTTATGAAGATGGAATCAAAGTGATACAACCCATCGAATGTGAATTTCAGAGACATATTAAGCCTAGTGAAAAGCTACTTGGATTTCAGGCAAGTATTTAAATAATTCATTTTCAATTTGATTCAGTGATTTTTTAAAGAATAGTTGTATTTTGGAAATACAATGTAATCTATACACAAATGAGACTTATGTAAGGAAGAAAAGGTTTATAATATTTATAATATCATCTTACTCCATGCAGGTTTTATATCTGAGGAAGGAAACAAAATAATATAGTATATATTGTTGTTGTTAAGTGCCGTCAAGTTGGTTCAGACCCATAATGACCCTGTATAGTGTTTCTGAGGAGCACCTGGTTAGCTTGCAGTTCAAATAGCTTTGCAGTCTGGCGCATTAACCCACAGTGCCACACCAGGACTCCAATTATATACAGTATATATAAATATAAATATAAAATAGTATATATATATACATATACATATATATGTATACTATTAATTAACATGATGGTGATGGAAGTAAAATTCCAGGAATTAACACAATACACAGTAATGTTACCAGCTCCTAAATTGAAAATATCTCCATCTTGGCATGCAATGAAAGATAACAGCATGTATACACCTCATTTTTCTGAGGTCTCAATGGAATAAAAAAATTAGCTGTATATGGGAAATATTAAGTCATTGATTTATCTATTTGTAAGATTTTAATTTGTGAATGTCAGATACCACATGCAACAAATCAGAAACCTCTAGCCAAAAAAAGAGCATTGATTGTATGTATTAGGAACTGAGTCTCTTGTTTTGCAGGCTGATAAAAAGTGAAAGTAGTTTTATATAATCATGTTCCTATGTAGTTGATGTACTACACATGTAGATAACTACACAAAGGTGACTATGTTTGCCAAGAAAGTGCAAATCCACAAAATACAGTAAGTTACAAAGAAAGCCCTATATAAAAACTTTCCCCTGATACTCATCGTTAAGGCTGACATGACTATGGTATATTACAAAAATAGATACTTAATACCACACTTTAGAGTCCTTACTTCTAACTCCTATTCCAGGCTACAAAAAGCCAGAATTGCTATTACATATTGATATATATAAACAAAAATTTATACTTTAAAGCCATGTCCTAGAATGAGTAGAGGGAAAAATATGTGACTATTATAAGACAGGCCAGCATCCTCCAAGATAATCTGTTGGAAAAAAGTTATGTTCTCTCTTGCTTACATGCAGGAAATATTTTCTCCATTAGTTACATGAGGAAATAATTGTTTGAAAATCACATGTGATTTATCATTATTTTTAAAATAATGAAACCATTGTTAAGTTAAAATTTTATTGTTGTTGTTGTTAAGTGCCGTGGAGTCGGTTCCGACCCATAGCGACCCTGTACAGGATTTCTGAGGGTGTAAATCTTTACAGGAGTAGAAAGCCTCATGTTTCTCCCGCGAAGCGGCTGGTAGTTTTGAACCGCTGACCTTAAGGTTCGCAGCCCGATTCGTAACCACTACGCTACCAGAGCTCCTTAAAATTTTATTAGGAGTAGGCTAAATTACTAAATAGAAACGTGATCATTTTAGGTAAAGTACAATTTAATGAGAAGTACAAAATCATTTTAAATTCCACATGCAAATTTATTTCTAATCTATCATGTATACTGAAACTATTTTGCATACGATGTTTTTGTGTATATGTGAGTGATGTATGTGAAAAATTGAAAATACATATATATATATATATATATATATATATATATATATATATATATATATATATATATATATATATATATATATATATATGGTTTTGCTAAAGCACATCATTGAACTTCCCACCACATTTGTTTACTTTATATTTCTTTGCCATTTTTCATTTATATCATTTCATTTCACTAGGAAGGTTAAAAAACTGAAATATATAATTTATTGTTAATTGCTAAAGAGCACTGATGGTGCAGCAAGTTAAGTGTTGGGCAGCTAATTGGTAAGTTGATAGTTCAAACCCACCAATCACTCTGCAGGAAAAAGGTGAAGAAATCTGCTTCAGGGACCTGCCAGAAAACTGACAGGAGTCATAAGAGAATAAAGAACAAGGGAAGTTATTACTGATGTCAGAAGGATCCTGACTCAATGCAGAGAATTCCAGAAAGATATTTAACTGTGTTTTATTGACCTAGGCAAAGACATTCAAGGATGTGGGTAATAACAAATTATTAATAACATTGAGAAAAATGTGAATTCTGGATGACTTACTTGTATTCATGTGGAATCTTTACATGAATACAAGTAAGTCTTCTAGAATTCAGTCAATAAAATGGAACAAGATGATACTGCATAGTTTAAAATCAGGAGTAGTTTGCCTGAGGTTTGTATCATTAATAAATATGTATAACAATTTCAACATAATTATTAAATCTGTATGTTGAACAAAAGGATCCCTGATTCAATAGGATAAGCACTGAATTGCTAGCCACAAGGTTGACAGTTCAAATCCTCCACTTGCTCCCAGGTGAAAGATGAGTCTTTCTGTTTCTATAAAGATTTACAGCCTTTGAGAAGGTAAACAAAGTAACTATGAGTCTATGTGTTGGAACTGACTCAATGGTAGTAAGTGAATGAGATGATAAGCAAATAATCAGAGAATTTGGAGTATACCAAGAAGAATGTTGCATGAGAATTGGAGGAAGACTCATTAATAAACTTAGATATCACGTTGACAATTTTGCTTGCTGAAAGTAAAGAAGACTTAAAACTCTGATGAAGCTCCTTGGTCTATATTACACTTCAAGAAAGAAAACACAAATCCTCATAACTTGACCAATGCGCAACATCACAGTTAATAGAGAAAAGATTGAATTTATCCAGGATTTAATTTTAATTTGATCCACAATCAACATCTTTGGAAGCAGATATAAAGAAATGAATGACATAAGGGCAAATCTGTTGCTTCTTTAAAGCAGTAAACAGCAAAGTTGTCACTTTAAGGGCTAGAGTGTCCATGACTTACAAGCCACGGTATTTTCAATCACTTTTTATGAATGTAAAAGCTAGACAATGAATAAGAAATACTGAAGAAGAATTGATAACTTTGATTTATGATGTTAACAAAACATTTTGAATATACCATGTACTGAAAGAAGAAAGGGCAAATTTATCCTGGAATAAATATAACCAGAATGCTTCTTAAAATATGGAAGCTTCATTTAATTTATTTTAGACATATCATCAATAGATATCTGTCCTTGGAGAAGAATAACAAGTTTGATAAAGCAGAGGATCAAAAAAAGGAAGACACTTAAAGAAATGCCTTGGTGCAAAAAATGATCTCAAACAGCAATCACTGAGAGGACTGTGCAGGACCAGTGTTTCCTTCTATTTTATACTTTTGTTATTGTTGTTAAGTGTCATCGAGTCAGTTCTGATGCATACTAACTTTATGAATAACAAAATGAAAACTGTCAGATTCTGTGCCATCCTCACAACTATTTTTAATCTTTAGACCATTGCTGTTGCCGCTATGCCAATCCATCTCAATGAGCTTCTTCCTGTTTTTGACCCTCCACTTTATCTAGCATGATGTCTTTCTTCAGGAACTGATACCTCCTGACTTGTTGTTATTAAATGCCATAAAATCAGTTCTGACTCATAGCAACCCTGTATAGGGTTTCTGAGGAGCAACTGGTGGGTTTGAACTGCTGACCTTGTGGTTTGCAATCCAGTGCTGAGCATACAGCGCCACACCAGAAGTCCCTCCTGATAGCATGTCCTAAGTATAAGAGATGAAGTTATAGAATCTTAGCTTCTAAGGAGAATTCTGGCTGTACATATACCAATACAGATTTGTTTGTTCTTCTATTAGGCCATGGTAGCGCTAATATTCTTCTCCCCAACACCATAACTCAAATTCATCAATTCCTCTACACTCTTCCTTATTCCCCGTCCAAATTTCACATGTATATGAAGATATTGAAAATACCAGGGCTTAGGTGAAGCACACCTTGGTCCTGAAATAAACATCTTAGCTTTTGAATACTTTAAAGAGGTCATGTATGGAAGACAATTCAATACTTCATTTGATTTCTTGACTGCTACTTTCATGTTGATAGTGGACCCAAGTAAAATGAAGTCTTTCACAATTTCAATCTTTTCTCCATTTATTTTGATGTTAGTTTCTGGTCATGTGATGAGGATTTTTGTTTTTCTTTACAATCCATACTGAAGGCAGTGGTCTTTGATCTTCCTCAGTAAGTATTTGAAGTCCTCTTTGCTTTCAGCAAGGTAGGCCACATCATCTACATATCAATGGTTGTTAATGAGTCTTGCTCTGATCCTGATGCTATGTTCTTCTCCATATGATTCAGTTTTTCAGATTATTTGCTCAACATACAGACTGAATAAATATGGTAAAATAATACAACCCTGACACACACATTTCCTAATTTTTAAACCATTCAGTGTCCCTTTGTTCTGTTTGAACAACTATCTCTTGTTCAATGTACAGGTTCCTCATAAGCACAATGAAGTGTTCCACATGTTCATTCTCCACATTGCTGACCATAGTTTGTGATGATCCACACAGTCAAAAGACTTTGCATAAGCAATAAAGCACAGGCACACATCTTTCTGGTATTCTCTCCTTTAGGCCAAGATCCATCTAATGTCAGCAATGATGTCCCTTTTTCCATGTTCTCACCTGAATCCATCTTGAAATTCTGACAGTTCCCTGTAAATGTATCACTGCAACCATTTTGGAATTATTTTAGCAAAATTTAACTTGCATATGATGATTTCTACTTTTTATTAGGTCAATGTTGTTGTTATTAGGTGCCATTGAGTCAGTACCAATCCATAGTGACTTTACGAGCAGCAGAACAAAACACTGCCCAATCCTGGGCCAACCTCACTACTGTTGCCACACTTGTGCCCATGGATGCTGCCACTTGGCCAATCCATCTCGTTGGGGGTCTTCCTCTTTTTCTCTGTCCCTCCACCTTGCCAAACATGATATCCTTCTCCAGTGACTGGTCCCTCCTGACAATATGTCCGAAGTATGAGAGACGAAGTTTGGCCATCTTAGCCTCC